GACGACGGGAAACAGGGTCGTAGCATCGATAGCCTTTCTGAGTATGACTAACGAGGACAAACCAGGCAATAAGTTTGGTTTGATCCTTGCGGGGAAGAAGGCCAAAACAGGCAGACCCAAACACACGAAGGAGGGAGTAATTAGGAATTTGGGAGAACAAAGCCTCATAAGGAGACCGACTAGAAAGAAGCGGAGTAGGCATGCTGTTGAGAAGAAAAGCAGTAGTAAGAACTGCCTCCTCTCAAAACAAAGCCAGAACTGAGGCAGAGAGAAGAAGAGACCTAGTTGTCTCAAGGAGAAGACGGTGTTTACGCTTGGCTCGACCATGTTAGGCAAGTGTATCTGTACAGGAAGTTTGGTGAATGGTATCCAAATTGGCCAAATACTCACAGAACTCATTTTTAAAATATTTCTCACCCAAGTCCGAACGTAACACTTTAATTGTAGACCCAAACTAAGTAATAATCATAGACTGAAAAATACGGTATATTTAATAGAAATCGGATTTATGAGTCATAAGATAAACCCAAGTATAACGGGTGCAATTGTCAACAAATGACACATAGTATGCAGAACCTCCTTTGGTGAGAACAGGAGAAGGGCCCTAAACATCAATATGAACTAAAGAAAAAGGTATATCAGATGTAGAAATACTTTTACGAAAAGGTAAGGCTATCATTTTGGTAAGTTTACACACCCGACATTCAGTAAGTTCACTAAGAGAAACTTTACCCAATATACTTGATTGAGCTAAAGACCGTAAACAGTCAGCAGACAAATGCCCTAATCTAGAATGCTACAAGTAGAAAGAACTGGACAAAGAATCTAACTGAAAAGAGGAAAAGGCAGTCGGAGAGGCTGTCATAGGCAGATGCAAGCTCTCCACCACATAGAGGTCTCCAACTCTACGACCAGTTCTAATCTGTTGCTTGGACATCCGATCTTGCACAAAACAGATAGAAGAAGAAAAGATAACATCAAAACCGGAGACATCAAACTAACTGATAGATAATAAACTGACACGTAACTGAGGAACGTAAAGGACAGATATAATAGAGACAGCAGATATAGTAGACGGTAAGACCCAACAGATATAGCAGACATACCAAACTCATTAGCAGCATTAACAGTAATAAGAAGAGGAGGGGGAGTACAATTTTGAAATAAGAAGAAATGGAGAGTCATATGATGAGAGGCACCAGAGTAAAAAATCCAGACAGATGATACCTCAAGAAGACCCAAGCAAACTTGAATGAAGAGAGAAACAATAGAGGCAAACGGGAATGGTTGGGAGGTAGACAATATATGTTGAAGTTGACTAATTTGAGCACTCAAGGAAGCCAAATCAAGATTAGGAGCCGCAACAAATGCAATAAAATCAGCAGGAGGCTAAAAAGTTCTCGGAAGAGGGGTACAGACCTGGATCTGAAATTGTTGAGAAGACGAGGTAAACAGATGCCCCTTCTTGGGACAATCATACTTCCAATGACCTCTCTGATGGCAGAAGACACACTCATCAAGAGCCAGAGACATTGTAATAACTAGAGAGATGAGGGGTTCAAGTGTAATAAATCCAAAATAGAACAAATGAGCCAAACTAGGGTCAAGGGTAATAACCAAAAACAACTGAGAGGTTGAAGAGTAATAAATCCAAAATAACTAAATTAGAGATTCAGATGACCCACAAACCAGTCAAATAGAGAGAGAGACCCCTTCACACTAGACGAACGCAGAGAGAGAGAGACAGAGAGAGAGCCAACCTTCGCGAGGTGAGAGAGACCACTTGCGAGAGAGACAGAAGCCGAAATTGATGCAAACTAGGTGCGATAGAGGCAAGAAGCAGAGGTTGTGGTATGAGTCGCGATATGGGTCAAACAGAGACAGATGGAGAAAGGCCTCGTGAACTTGATTGTGAGCAAGACCTCGCGATGACGAACCAGAAACAGAGAGGGAGTAGTGACGAGAGGCAAATTTCAATGCTAGAGTTTAGACAATGATGATAGGCTCTGATACTATATAAGATTTCTAAATAGTTTTCTATATATTCAATCGTATATATTTACAAAGAGTTCATCAGTTTATATAACTCTAAACCTATGATTGAAAAAGGAAATACAGCTAATTCAAATATTTACACCACAATTTTTCCTAATTTCTAATTCCTAATATACACAATCATGCCAAATTGAGAAGATACACAATATATTCTCACAGTTTATGCAACTTGTTAGATTTGCATAAAAGAAAGAAAAGAATGAGAGGAAGAAAAGAGAGAGAATTGCTGCTGTGTTTATTTCTCACTTCTAAACATATTAGGGTTACACATACTTGTAATAAAAGACTAAAGAAACAAATGACATAACTACTCTTACACACTAATACTTAACACTCCCCCTTAAGTTAGTGCAAAGATATCTCTCATGCCCAACTTGCAGCAAATGGGATGGAAAACCTTACTACTAAGACCCTTAGTAAAGACATCAGCCAATTGATCTTCAGACTTCACAAAAGGCATACATATGAAACCCTTATTCAATTTCTCCTTGATGAAATGTCTGTCGATCTCAATATGCTTTGTTCTATCATGCTGAACAGGATTGTGAGCAATACTAATGGCAGGTTTGTTGTCACAGTACAGTGTCAATGGTTCACTGCAAACAAACCCAATATCATTCAACAAGGACTAGAGCCACATCAATTCACATGTACCATCAAGCGGAAGAAGCTGTGGTAGAAGGAGAGTCAAGTCAAGCCATCAAACGCTTGAGAGTGCGTAACTCATGAAAGAGTACTAGGCTCAAAAGAAGGACTCGTAGCAATCTCAGACACATGTGCTTGGGGACGAGCTGTACTACCATGACCTTGACCCTGAGTAGGGCGACCATTCAATTTCCAGCATAGCTCTCGATCATGTCTGTCTTTCCCACAATAATCACACTTCAAGCGATCTCGATCAACCAGTGTACCTTGACTCCCAGACTAAACCGGACTAGGCCGAGGAGCTCGAGTAGGAGGAGCAACAACCAAAACAAAATGATCCTGAATAGAGGAATGAACCATAGCACTACATCGACTCTTCTCTTGTTGGACAAGGGCATAAGCCTCGCATAGGGTGGGAAAGTTGAACGACCCAACACCTAGACGCGAAGCTGATCACACTCAAAGTTCAAGCCAGCAAGAAAGTCATACACACGCTCCTTCTCCACGGTTTGCTGAAACAAAGTGGCATCCCGAAAACAAACAGCCTGAAAGCTTTGGTAATAGTTTAGTTCCTGCCACAAACTACTCAACTCAACATAATATACTGCGAGTGATCTATCTTTCTGATCTAAGCTCCGAAGCTTATTCACAACTCATACGTCTGTGCATTATTACCCTGTTAGGAGTACATTTGTGCTACAGCTGTCCAAATCTTATGAGCAGTATCTAATAAGAGGAAACTCTGACTAATGGTGGGCTGCATAGAGTTGATTAGCCAATTCATAACAAGAGCATTTTCAGAAATCCATTGAGTATGGAGTGAGTCATCACCATTCGGTAGTGGGAAAGAGAACCAGTAATGTAGCTAGTCAAACGGCGAGCAACAATAGCAAGACTATAGGAGTGTGACCAAATCAAATAGTTGGAACCATCCAATTTAATGGAACTAATTTGAAGAGAGGGACTGTCGGTGACAGTAATAACATGACGCAGGCCACCCTCATCACTAATTGTATCCTTAGTCTCACCCTCAGCCATTGAAGATTAAATCCCCACAATAGAAAAAACAAATACCAGCCCAAAACCAGCAAAAACAAACAGAGGCAAATCCACAAACTCAACTTAGGGACAAAACATACCTCTAGAGACAAAAACAGAACCGAAACATGGGCTGAAGAGGCCAAAAACAATCAAAAACTGTGCTGAAACTGAGGAAAACCGACAAAAATAGAGTGAAACCTTGCCAAATCATCAAAACCAGGTCTCCCAACCCTAGTACAATCCCAATCGGCTCCCATGGTAGAGGAATGAAGGAAAAAGTCAGCCAAAAACCAGCCCCAGCAGCGACTTCCGAAAAATCAATCAATTTTTCCAAAAATCAACAAAAATTGGAAAAACACTCAAACACTCATCAAAAAATTACAATAAAAATCTAGCGTGAAGGTGAAAACCCATCAAATTTCGATCATGAAGGATCTTATTTTATTTTTTTTGAGGTGTACAGGGAAGAACGAATGAAACAAGGAACAAGAGAAGAATCTTCAAGGCGGAAGATGAAGCTCTGATACCATGTTAGATTTGTATAAAAGAAAGAAAAGAATGAGAGGAAGAAAAGAGAGAGAACTACTGCTGTGTTATTTCTCACTTCTAAACATATTAGGGTTACACATACTTATAATAAAAGACTAAAGGAACAAATGACATAACTACCCTTACACACTAATACTTAACACAACCTAAAATAGAACTCAAGCCACTGCTAAGACGAGCAAATTTGATTGCATCACCTGAACTTGAAGTTCTATGAGAGATCTTCATCAACATCAAAGAAATGCTATAGAAGAGCTTCATCGAAATGAAGAGGACTTTGGACAAGGCTAGGACCAAGTCAGAACAAGCTATGCTACAAAAGTCAAATCTTTGTCAGCTCAGCATGGTTGACCATAGGTAGGTTCAAAGAGCAGTTTTAGGAAGTCTCATGATGTGGTCAATTAACCTTGTGGATGTAGACAACTATGATCGACTGTGGTCAACCACGACAACATAGGGTCAACCGTGCCTAGAAAAGTTTATTAAAAAAGATCGTTAACAAACCATTGGCGGCTCGGCCATATATACCCCAACACTCCCATTTGGAGTCTTTGACGAGAGCTAATAAGTTTTTCAATAAATTTAAATGTACATTTAAGACGTATTAGAAATATTTACAATGTTAATAATAAATTAGCTTTGACTGATTTAATCAGAAGAACAGAACATAACTCCCACTAGAGAAGTCTCACTTTGTCCCTTGTGCATACCTGTACAGTTTCTGTATAAAGGTGTTCAGAAGATCCGTTTTTGTATGGTTAACCTGGAGAACATGCACAGTAACAGAACATTGAGATGAACAGAACCAGAGGATGAAGATCAAAAGAATGCACAAAATCCAATCTCAAGGTTAATTGGATATTCCACACCCCACAAATAATAGATTTGAACAAATACAATACAGAAAAGAAAAGTTTCAATAACAATACCAGAAAATGCATTATAGCTTTTGGAACAAAGTCTTGAATGTTCTTTCTGACAATGTCATAGTAAGAACTCAAGAGTAATTTGGTTACTATTATTTCAACTGCTTCATTATCTGTTTGTGCTTCTGATGGCCTTAAGATGGCAGGGAGCTGAAATTACCGGCCACAAAATGACGAACTTGAATCAGGAATAATGAAAAATACAATCACAATTTCAAAATAAAAATTAATTTATCAAGTTCTCGTGAAGCACATTATTACCTCTCTCAATTGGATCACAGAAGGCATCCGTTCCATATCAGAAACAGTTTCATCGAGAGATCTATCAGAAACAGTTTCAACGAGAGATCTACCAGAAACAGTTTCATTGAGAGATCTATTAGCTGAACTCTCTGCAGATGATGCCCGACTCCCAAATATAGATGGAATGCCCCAAGTCTTTGTGGATGAATTACCTGCTAAATACCATGCAACAGTAATGTACGTATAGCTAGTAGCTACTACTCATGCCGAGTAGGATGGCCATAATCATGCTCATAATCATATTACACACTAACTATAGAAGGCAAGCAGCATTTCTATAAAATCACAACCACAAACTTTTACTGTCTCTGTGTACGCCTCACACAGGTCTCAGATTCCCCCCAACAACTTCTACTTAAAATCAAATTACAGTTCATTTTGTGCATGCAAATGCATCAAACAGATGCAATCGGAGAAACATAATATTATATCTAAGGCAAAAAGTTCTCGTTATTTAGTCATCAAGAGAAGGTCTCAGTTTAATACACAATTCAAGTCCAAATCCACCCAACATTGAGGTTGATCAAATGGTAGATGGAGTTAAAAGGGAATATATAAGTTTCTATTGTGACAACCAGAGTACAATATAAATATACATGAATCTGAATGATGACAATCATGATAATCAATATTGGCTAGATAGAAACATGGGCTAATCACTACAACTATATGTATAAAAACACTCACACATGCATGCATGCAATCAATCAGACACATTGCTTTAATAAACATAACAAACATTTTGATAGACACCAAGAATATTGTCATATATGCCATATCAAGCGTTTTGAAAGTAAAAATAAATGATGTAGTGTGATATATCAAAATGTTCAAGCCACGCTAACGCCAGAACCAAAAGAACGAAATTAAGCATCAGCAAAGAGCAAGCGCGGAGAGTCCTGATCATATTCACTGTAACTAAACAGTTAAGAGAAATATAGAAAATTCAAGACTCCAAGTAATAAAAAAAAAAAAAAAGAGAGAGAGAGAAAAAAAGTGCATTTAAATGGGAACAACCACCTCCTTGAAATTGCAATTATTTTGAGTTGTTTTCACTTAAATGTGTAATTTCGTCCCACAAAATTCAAGATTCTTTTTTTTATATATTTTTTTTTTTATCAACAACAAAAAAAATATATTGGTATTAGATAACATGCACAGGGAGTTATTCACCCAAAAATAAACATGCATAGGGAGCACAACCCTTACATAATACAAAAAGAAGAGAAATAAAAATAACCGCCATCCCTTATAATAGCCCAAAAACATCCATACCCAATAACTAAAATGCTTCAATATTGCACCAACTTGTAAGTGAACAATTCAAAATACTTGTAAGTGAATATCAATTTATGAAATTAATTCTTTAAGAACAAAGACTATACCAACGGATATAGGTGTGTCATTGTTGGACTGAAGATGAGTTCCCTGCCATAGACCAAACATGAAAGAAATTACAAAAATGTTCTTAAAATGTAAACAAGTGAGCAGAGTAGACCAGATAAATGAGCTTTAGGCCTTGGAGCAGACCATACGAATTCAAGTATTGTCTATGTAATTAGTCTAATCCTTTGTAGGAACTACACATAATAATGAACTAAATATATTAATAAAATTTAGGGGTAATTAAAAAAAAAAAAAAAAAAAAAAAAAAAAAAAAAAAAACGAGTTTGACACTAATATCAAAATAAACCTTGAGTTTTTTATTTTGTCAATTTAAACCCTAACTTGTTTATTTGTTTTCAATCTAAAACATTTTCCTATTTCTATTAAGTAAAACAGATTGAAAATTTATATTTTATTAAACTCATGTAAGTGTACATAAAATGTTTAAAATATCCCTTTTCAATGAGTTTAAGGAATAAAACACGCTTTCTCTGTTGGTTTTACTTAGCAAAAATAGGCGGATGTTTATGTTGACAAAATTACAAATTCAAGGTTTATTTTGTTGCAATGGTCACACCATGGGGTGGTTTTGTAATTTCCCCTAAAATTTATAGCAAAATCTTTTGTAAAAGAATTAACAGTACAATATTATTTCACTTTTTGAACTGAAAACTTGGACCGATGCCTTGCTAATATATATATATATATATGGCAAGTCTAGATCCCATTAAGAGGGATAGCCTTCTGCTACTGGTACAACCTTTATTAATTAAGCCAGAAATACTAATTTTATTCATTAAATGGTCAGTACATGTATATGAAATTCAAATGGGAAAGACAAAAGTATTTAGTGCTCTTCAAGAGAAGCCAAATGTTGCACTAAGATAGGCATAGTTTGACCCAGACCAAGCGCAACCCAGAGTAGAACTTAAACCAACTTAGCTCGGCCCAACAGCATATAATTAGCCCATTGGAGTTCAGAGCCATCAGGCTATGCCACTGATATTATGGCAGACAGGGTGTCATCAATTGTTATCAATAGACCAAGTTGAGTTCACAAGGCCCACAAAGCTACATGCATCCATTGCTGTCAAATCGTAAATCTTTTGGGTAAAATAGTTAATCAATATAACTAATTGATTTCTTTGTTATTTCTTCATATCAGTGTTTCAAAAAGCTCTAGGCACATTGAGGCGCTAAGGTGTCCTAGAGCTTAAGCTTGAGGCGCAATGTGAGGCACGCGCCTCATTGAAGAGAAGCGCAAGTTGTCAAAGATAACCAAAATATTAATATAGACAAAGTTTTTAACATAAAATAAATATTCTTAGAATTTCAAAAAATAAAAATAAAAAATAAAATAAATAGAACGACATTCAATATTCCAAAAATCATAAAAAATAACATTCAATGTTTCAAAAATTTCTCAAAAATAACTTTCAATTTTACTTTTCCCTATACTATTTATCTTTGTTTATCAATTTATTAAAGTGATTCATTTCTTTTTTTAGATAAGGAACTCACACTATATAATACCTTAGTGGTTTTAATTTTAAATTGGGACCAAATTGCCTAATAGCTTCAATCATTGGCCCGAAACTGTTGGAACTTACTACATTGAAAGGAATCCCAAAGCCATATATCCATCTTGCAATCTCACAGCTTTTGCTTAATGCATAGAGTTTTTTTTGATATGAAAATTGGTGCTCAAAGCATGTGTTTACATTTTATATTAAAGAGATTGTAATTCCATATGGTTACACACACAAAGAATAAGGATGGAGCAAAATTTTAAATGAAGTGCATGAGGCGTGTGCCTCAAGCACCTCAAATGTGCCTTTCCTATTGCGCCTCGTCTCAAGCTGTCTGAGGTGCCTCAGGTGCGCCTCGGTCCTAAGCACGAGCTTAGGCGCGCCTTTTAAAACACTGCTTCATAGATAGGCAAAAACAATGTCATTTCATGCAATATGCAAATAAAAACATAACTGGATCGTGGTGAATCATAGTAAATCACAATGAATCATGGTGAATCAGATGATTTACTCAATTTTCGATTCAATAATTCGAATCATTTCGGTTTACCCTCGTATGAATCGTATGAATCAAATCGCACAATTCTAACCATGCATTTATTGATACACAATGCATTTGATATCTTGGCACAGACAATTTCCTCTGCCTAGATTATCAGATCATGAAAAATATATATATATGTAAGTATTTATGTAATTTATGTATGTATTATTGATTGATGTAGATATATTACAATTGATTGTCGTTATTCTGTATATTACAATTCCTATATATAGAGGAGAAGATGGTAGTGGAGTGTGTGATAGTGGAGGTGGATGGTAGTGGAGTGTGTGATAGTGGAGGTGGTAGGTGTGGAGAAAGATAGTGGAGGTAGTAGGTGAGTGGTAAATTCTAACATATATATATATGATTTTACACTGAGAGGGGCCTCAGCCTTCACCATAGAATTATTTTGACCCCGCATTAGTTATTCTATTTTGTATTCCTATCAATAGTTTTTATAGTTCGTTGTGTTGGTTGCTTTCCCCCAAGGATCTCTCGGTTCTTTTTCCAGCAATGACTTCCTGTTGAGGTTTTACCAGTAAATGTTTCACATCAACTTTGTTCATTCCAAAATCATAAAAAAGGGGAAAGAATAATACCTGGTTAGGCAAAACTCCAGTCAAAACAGACTTAGGCTGGACAACTTGAGATTTCTGGCCCCTCTCTGACGTGGATACCTTTTTGACATTAGTATCATCCTGATTCAGCATAAAAATACAGATGATGATGTTCTATTCGGATACCCTTAAACCTATAGTCATGCCTGTGGCTGTTAGAATCTTACAATTCATACAATTCGATACGAGTTTTAAGAAAAACTAATTGATTCGTGCAATAGAATCTTACAATTCAATTTCGATATACTACGATTCATTACGATTCGTTGTGATTGAAACGATTCAATTCTGTTTGAATAATGCACAAAATGGCGTCGTTTTCACAAATTTTTTTAAAAAAAAAAAAAAAAAAAAAACAGATTATACTGATATACATGGTTTTATATGTATATACTAAGAATTTATCCAAAAAAAAGAAAAAATGCACCTGCTAAGAAGCACGAACACTTCTAAAAATGTGGCATGTCAGTGTCGAACCGTAACACTTGTCGGACACTTCCCGACACATGTTTGAGACTCATCCTAATGTGTCTTATTTTTTTTTCAAAAAAAAATTAGACTCGGTCACTTGAAGGACACACGTGTCCATTGATTAGACGCACATGATGGAAATACAATGATAACTTAGAAATTTTATATACACCTACATTGAGTTAAATGACTAAAATATCATTTTTTAGAATACAATGAAGAAAGAAAAACAATGTCAATTTATAAAAATTAGTATTCGATTGCTTTTATTTATTGTTTTGGAATGATATATTCATATATGTAACATCTAATGAATATATAAAATTATATATTTTGTGTGTCCCTCACGTGTCGTGTCTTGCAGTTTTTTTAAAATTGTTGTGTCGGCGTGTCCGTGTCGTGTCATGTGACCATATCCGTGTCCGTGCTTCTTAGTGTATATACAAATATATAATTTAGTTATTTTGATATTTATTTCGTTTCACACATTGTGTATATTTATATGTATATAAATATATAAAATTAAATATTAGAATAAATAAAATGAATCATGTGATTCACGATTCGATACAATTAGATACGATTCACAATTCAATATCTTAGCAAAATGGTTCGAGATTTGATTCAAGATTGGACAATGATGCCTATAGTGGTCAAGGGCGATGACAAAATCCACAATTGTTTTTGGCTAAAAACTACAGATTTGGATCCATTAAAGTAATGGCACCTGAGAAGATCTCAGTTCCCGCATAGCATCCTCCATTGCTTTCTTTCCACCAATAAAATCTGGATGTGAAGAATTTATGTAGGCCATCTGAAATAATGAAAAAAGTTGACTGATCAGCAGAAGATCAAGTTACCATTTGTACAAATCTCATCAATTCATAATAATAACTAATAATCATTGATTAACAATTTCAAAAGCATGCTAAACGTATTTAAAAATAACCGAATCAAATGAGCTATGGATCGAGAAGATTCTATATACTTGATGTGGTAGCAATTGAGTAAAAAAGAAGAGCTACCTCCTTTGAAGGCTACAGTTAAAACTTTGAGCTCCAATTAAATGAACAAGTTACTTTGAGGCAAGAAAAGATGTTCACGGTAATTTCAGGTCAGTTATTTCAATTTTGAATCATATTTGTTGAGCATTATCTGTCCACAATTTTATATAGAGTCCTGTTAACATATCCTCTGTGTCAGAATGTAAAATAGCACAGCAGGGGTGCTTGGAGTGGGAAAGGACCATTTACAATTGAGAACATGTGATTAAAGAAGCAGGGTGTTGTATGGAAAGTTCAGGAATGGTGGTATAGGGTAAAACGGAAGCCTGAGCAATGAAAGCAAATCATCAAAAGTGGAAAGAAGAGTTTGCAGGTGTGCAGAATAAAAGACAAGGGTGTTTTTCTTTCTGAGAGAGAGAGAGTGGTCTTCTGAAATTAAACTTTCAAAGAACCGTCAATTACAATTTAGCTTTAAAGTCTAAATTTCTTTTTATGGGTCCGAAGTATTTCAGTATTTTTTACAGTCAACCCTCAAGTCAACTACTTTCTGAATAGATCTTAGACAATCATTTCTGGTACTTCCAACAAATTTAATGTTTTGGGTTCTCATTTCAATTCCAAGATGACACTTATCCAGTACATAAGTGAGGTTTAAAAATTCCATGCCAAATGTTGTTCGATATATTTAAGTAATCATGTAAACCAAGTACTAATTCCTGCATAACAAAACTTAAATAAAAGAACAGAGAGAGATCAAAGAACCTCTATCTCAATAATGTTTCCTATCATTCTTTCAGCAGGTTTTACACTATCACGCAAAAACTTCCCCATGACTTCGTCCAAACGCCTTCGTAATAGTGGAAATCTTCGTATCTCCATTGCCTCACAAGCACGGCTCATCTGCATGAAAATTAATTGGCCAGATCACATCTCATTCAGTTGGAGAGAGAGAGAGAGAGCAAAACACAAGTGAGGAAGTCTGTTTTTCTGCACCTTTATTAGTTCATCATAGACAAGTTGTAAACACTGAAGACTAGGATCTAACAATCGAGCAATTTGTCTTCTAACCAAAACTTGAAATGGGACCTGAAAGGTGAATATAATAAATATTCATATCAGAAATATGCTAAGAATTGTTGAAACACAAGGCCAACCATAGAAAACATGCTAAATAGAGCCAGTATGTAAAAACATTGACACCTCTGGAACAAACAAAGCATTTGTAGGACCAGTAGCATTTTGGATAGCTGTTCTAATGTCCTCATCAGAAAAATCTTCACAAGGATTCACTTCCTACACAATAAATGAGGTAGTTACCAGCTATGTAGCACTTAAAATCTCACGATTACCGTTATCACATTTTGGGGCCATTTCCCAAAATAAGCCAAATTTACAATTCAATTCCCAAACTAAGCCTAGTTTTGAAAGAATTTCCAAAATAAGCTAAATCGTGGTTCATAACCACGATTTCAACATATATGCGCCTGTCTCGCGTGAAGTTTGGTAAGTCTTAAAAGCGTGGTTACAAAACGCGATTTTGATTAAGAAATCGCGGTTACAAAAGGTGCTTTTAATTAAAAAAAATTTCTTCTGAAATCGCTGTTCTGAATCACGCTTTTATCCAAAAAAAAATTTCTTCTAAACTCGCTGTTCTGAACCACGCTTTTTGGCCAAAATTTGTTTCTGCTGAAATCGTGGTTCCTAACCACGCTTTTTGGCCAACCACATGCACTCACACAAACACTCTCACTCTCTCACTTTTGACTCTGACACAAACACAAACAACCACTCACACACACAGTCACACTCAATATATATATATATAAATATATATTTTATTTCATAAAATTTAATTGTTATTATAAATTATTATATATATTTAATTGTTATAATTATTATAATTGTTATTTAATTATTATTTAATTATTATAATTGTTATTATTTAATTGTTATTATTTGTTATTATAAATTGTTATATATATTTAATATTGATTTCAATTTTATGAAATAAAATTTATATATATATATTAAAATTTATATATATATATATTGAGTGTGACTGTGTGTGTGAGTGGTTGTTTGTGTTTGTGTCAGAGTCAAAGTGAGAGAGTGAGAGTGTTTGTGTGAGTGCATGTGGTTGGCCAAAAAGCGTGGTTAGGAACCACGATTTCAGCAGAAACAAATTTTGGCCAAAAAGCATGGTTCAAAACAGCGAGTTCAGAAGAAATTTTTTTTTTTGATAAAAGCATGATTCAGAACAGCGATTTCAGAAGAAAAAAAATTTAATTAAAAGCGCCTTTTGTAACCACGATTTCTTAATCAAAATCGCGTTTTGTAACCACGCTTTTAAGACTTCCCAAATTTCACGCGAGACAGGCGCATATATGTTGAAATCGTGGTTGTGAACGACGATTTAGCTTATTTTGGGAATTCTTTCAAAACTAGGCTTAGTTTGGGAATTGAATTGTAAATTTGGCTTATTTTGGGAAATGGCCCCACATTTTGAGCAAAAACTAAATAAATGACAGTTTTAACATTTAGAAATTCAATAAATTAATATGGTAATGTATTGACTAAGGTAACAGTCCAAGCAAAAGATAGCTGCAGATTTCCTAGTAAACATGACTTCAAATTTACATATTTCAGCAGTACAAAAAAAAAAAAAAAAAAAAAAAAATGCAATCCAGAATTTCAATAATTATGAAAACTAAATTGCACCTCCAAGCTCTTCACAAAAATTGACTGAAAAATGTAGTGGATTCTGGCTCCCCCCGACAACTCTTTGGTTGACATTTCTTGACTTTTCCCATCCACCATTGCAGAAAAAGCTGTTAATCAATGAAACAGATAATGAAAGCAAATTAAGGGACCTCTACTAATGCTTGTAAACGAAAGAGACAGAATTTCAAAAGACAAAGGAGCGAGGCGACGGGAGGAGAGGACCACAAAGAAAAGGGACAACTAAACACAAGCATACAAACATTTGATCTACAATTGTTTGAGAAGCGGACCACCTAGGTCCACGCTCCAACCTAGGTAGAGAAACCCAAAGCACAAAGCACTGTTCAATGTTTGAGCAGCTCCCAAACAAGCTACATTTGCATCTCTCTTTAGTCAGATGCCAAGGTACCGAGTGCAGTCATTATTGTTAGGGCTCAACCAAAAATGGCTGCATCATGATGGCAAATGTCGTTTACATAGGAGATCCACCTGCTCCAAATGCTGACTGACACATGGTCATCCTAAATAACCAATGGAGTAAGCACTTGTTTACCAATGCCTTTATGCCTCATCAACAAAGCAAAGCATGGTGAGAAAATGCCGGATATGGTAGAGTCGCCAAAGTCCTAAATGAAGCTAGTTTATTCAAATATCAGAAGTCATTAGTGCCACCACAACAGCCCCTCAAGTATTCATGCTCCAAAGCCTACGCAAAGTTTTCATACCATCTCAATGAAAAAATAATACTATTGAGGCGAGAAAAAAAGCATCCCAAACAAACTTTGTCTAGAAAAAGCATCTCAAACGAACATCTAATGTAGATCCATAATGCATAATAGAGCGAAAAATAAAGAGATATATTAAACTTTACAAGAAGTTGAATAAACACTTAGCTGTAAGTTTCTGAATATTTCTGTATATTCGAATGATTCAATGATACAAAGATTACATCACTTATATAGAACTCAAATCCCTAAGACCAAAAAGGAAATACAAATTACACATAATATTTACATAATCACAATCATTCTAAATTTCTAAAATACAATATATGCAATATAGGAAATATATTCTCACACCCCGCTCAAACTCAAGATGTTTTAGCAGAAAACACTGAGAGTTTGTCAAGGAGAAACCGAAATCAAGCAGTGGTGTGAGCCTTCGTAAAAAAGTCAGCAAGTTATAGAGCCGAAGTGACAAAAGGAAGCGAGATAGAGCCAAACTGCAAATGTTGACGGACGAAGTGACAATCAATCTCAATGTGCTTCGTCTGCTAATGAAAGACAGTGTTATGGACAATCTGAATAGCACTTCGGTTGTCATAGTAGAAAGAGGTCAGAAAGGGTTGAGGGACGCCCAAGTCAGATAAGAGACTATGAAGCCAGACAATTTCAGCAGTAGCATGAGTAACAGTACGGTACTCAGTTTCGGCAGTAGAACAGGCAACAACAGTTTGTTTCATGCTTTTCCAAGAAATCAGGGAATCACCAAAAAATATACAAAAACCAGAAGTGGACTTGCGATCATTAACATCACCGGCCTAATCAGCATCAACATAGGCCACCAAGTCCAAGTAAGAAGTAGATGATAACACCAAGCCCTAAAAGACAGTACTGCGAAGATAGCGAAAAATCTGAATCAAAGTAGCCCAATGTGTAGAACGAAGAGCATAAACAAATTGACTAACCACATGAACAATATAGGCAAGATCAAGACGACTAACTATTAGATAGACTAAGTAACCCACAAGTTCACGATATAAAGTAGGATCATCCAGAGGGATACCATCAGTAGTGTTGAGCTTCACATTAAACTCAATCGGGGTATCAAAAAGCTTAATGTTAGTAAGACCGACATGGTAAATAACCTTATTGGCATACTTAGCCTGAGACAGAAAGTAGCCATTGGGAGAGGAAGCTACCTCAATATCTCAAGGGGCCCAGATCCTTCATTTCGAAGGTGTGGAAGACATGCTGTTTGACCTCAGAGATAGCAGAACAGTCAGAGCAAGAGATGATCAGATCATCCACGTACAGTAAGAGAGCAACAAAACCAGTAGGGGCATAGTCTTGGGCACAAGGATGAAACCCAAGCTCAGTAACAGATGTCTGAAAGCAATCATACCAAGCACGGGGAGATTGCTTCAAACCATACAGAGCACGCCGAAGTCAACAAGCCCGTCCAGCGGAATATGGAAGGCCAGGGGGACAATGCATGTAAACCGCCTCAGTTAGATGACCATTAAGAAAAGCATTCTTAACATCCATCTGATAAAGAGGCCAATGATGAACAGCAACGATAGAGATCAAAGTGCGGACAATAATCATCTAGGCAACAGGGGCAAAGGTCTCCTAGGAGAAACTTTTAGCACCCAAGCGAGCTTTGTAGCGCTCGAGCAAACCATCAGAATGAGTCTTGACTTTATAGACCCATTTGCAACCAACCAAATTCTTACTAGCAGACAAAGGAACTAGCTCCCAAGTAGTAGTCTTTTGCAATGCAGATAACTCATCCTCCATAGCTTGAATCTAATTAGGATCCCGACAAAAAGATGCAGTATGAAGAGGAAAACATGTGTTAGCAAAACCAAGTTTGACTACTTGTTTACGGTTGCAAAGGGGATACTTACAGTTGGCAAGATCAGAGTCGTCAAAAGTTAGAGGAGCAGCAGCAACAGGGGCAGAGACAACCGGTGGAGGGAGAGGCTTGTGATGAGAATAGACTAACAACAGAGGAGAAGAAGGAAAATGAGGGGATGCAAGAGGAGAAGAGGGAACAGACTCATGAGGGTCAGTAGAGAGGTACTCAGCCGGAGTGGTGGTAGGAGGAGGAGAAGAAACAAGCTCATGAGAAACAGTAGAGATGTACTCATTAGGAGGCACCTTAGGGCGAAATGGATCAATGTGAACCAAGTCCTCTTTGGAAACTGGAGCAATGATAGGATGAAGATGAAAGTAAGACAGACGTTCAAGAAAGGCAACATGACAGGAGACAAAAAGGCGATGAGAAACAGGGTTGTAACAACGATAGCCTTTCTAAGCAAGATTGTAACCCAAAAAGACAGATCGGGCACTAAGTTTGGTCCTATCTTTGCAGGGAAGAAATACAAAACAAGCAGACCCAAAAACACGAAGGAGAGAATAATTGGGAAGTTGAGAAAACAGAGCCTCATAAGGAGACCAACCAGAGAGAAGGGGAGTAGGCATACGGTTGAGAAGAAAAACAGCAGTAAGAACTAGTTTTTCTCAAAATGGAGACGGAACAGAGGCAGAGAAAAGAAGAGACCTAGCGATTTCAAGGAGATGATGGTTTTTACGCTCAACTCGACGATTTTGAGCGGGTGTAACATGTTAGAATAGTAAATTAGTATATTATTAGTTGGGTTTTTATTTAGATGTAATTGTTCTATGCCTTAGGGCTCCCTTGTAATTATTAATCTTTATTAATATAAAAAGGGGATGATATCACAATCATTCCCCAATCTTTGAATTCTCTAAAAACATCATAGTATCAAAACCACAACCCTAAACCCTAAACACATACCCCACAGCCACCACAAAGCTAGGTTTGACTGAACTTGCCGGAATTAGCCCTCAATCGAACACTGTCGCCGGTACCTAGTCACTTGTTGGTCACTACGACAGGCCATCTTGCCTAGTCACACCCTTCGATCACTGTCGCAAGTCCCCAGTCACGCGTTGGTCGCTGCCGACAGCCCTTCTTGCCTAAGTCGACCACTGTGGTTGTGTCGTCTTGTCTAGCTGACAGCCCCGAGGCTTCCTCTGGCTTCCTCCGTCTCCCTCTATGTCATCTTGACCTTTGGTCGCTGTCTATGATGAGGTATTGACCTCGGTTTGCTTCTGCTGCTGTTTCTTCGTTTCTTCTATCCAAAAAAAAAACTTTTATGAGTGTTTAATTCTTTAATATTCTTAGTGGTCTCCGTGCTTACTATTCCTTCACCATCTTTCAGGTTTATGATTGGCACTAGTTTTTGTTGAGGGTTCGGTAGTATAGTATCCATGACAGATTCTACCAGTGGGTCCACTACTTCTCAGACACCTAAAAGTGAGAGTTCCATTATACTTACCACTATGACTGATAACCCCAACCCTAGTCTTAAAATCACTACCTCTCTATTCAATGGTCAGAACTATCTAGCGTGGTTGCAGAGTTAGACTACTTTTTTGAAGAGCAAAGGGAACACAGGGTACGTTGATAGCAGGATACAGGCACCCAGCACCACGGACCAGGGTTATGATCAGTGTGAGATCACCAACTCCCTAATTATAGGTTAGTTGATACATTTTACGGCCCTGGAGATTGGAGAGGGCTATCTATCTATGGACACTGCACAGGATATTTGGGAGCTAGTGGCTACAACTTATTCCCGCAAAGGAAATTTCTCACAGATATTTGAGTTGTGCTGCTCTATTGAGAGCTCTGTTCAGGGGGAGCAAATTGTTCTTCAATACTTTACCTTCCTCACCAACGGCTAGAAACGTCTTGATCACCTGCAGGACTATAAACCTGTTTGCTATGCTTATTCAGTCGGGTACAGGAAGTTCATTGCACAGGAAAGGGTCTTCAAGTTTCTGGCTGGTCTTAATGTGGAGTATGATCCGGTTCGGAGTCGAGTTCTGGATATGGACACTCCCTTCACTTCTAGAGGCATTTGCCTATGTACAAAATGAGGAGAGTCGCCGGTTTGCTATGATGTCAACTGTCTTTACTGATCGCTTCGCGTTACTCTCTACCCCTAGAGATGGCCTCAATCTGACTCCCATCCCTCCGTCTGCTGCCAAGGAGTCTGTCTTCTGTGATTGCTGTCATAAGCCATGGCATACTCATGAGATGTGTTGGAAGCTTCATGGGACTCCATCCGGGGGTCGAAGTGATCGGCCAGGTTCTAGAGGACGTCGGTTAGGCCAGTCTAGAGGATGTGGCTCCCATCCATAGGCTCATTAGTCTAGTGCCGTTAATACACTTGATTTTACTTTCGCTTCCTTTGGCAGGCTTTTGATGGTCTCTCTAGCATGACAACTATGAGCTCGAGGATGTTCTGCGTCACTTGTTGGACTGTCGGTCTTCTACTGCTCTCAGTACATCT